AAGGTGCTAAATGCATTGCAGAGAGGTCAGACAAAGCTACCTGGAGGAAGCAACACTTCGGCAGAGACCTGAAGAATGAGTAGGAGTTAGCCAGCAAGCTGGTGAGGAACAACAATCAGTTGGCATTCGCTCCTGGTGTTCTGTGCTGGAACTCCAGAGCTGCCAACACTAACTTCATGCCAGGTGACAAATGATCTGAGTGCCCACAGCTGCAGCTGCCGCTTTATATGCTCTCCCTCCTACTTCCATCGTTAATGAGCCCGAGACCAGGAAAGAATACATCCTAGTAACCAAAAGCTCTTCTGTTAGCCTTTGGTCCAGAGACACAAGAGAAGCTTCTTCACTCCTGTTAACAATACAGCCACAGATCCTTTGTTATTTTCCTCTAGCACTTGCTAAAATAGCAGTTTGCAGCTACTAACTCATTTTTATACATTTGGTGGCAGGTGGGGATATGCTCATAAATATGCTCATTATAAAAAATGCATGATTTTTTTCCCCCAGGAACAGCTCTAAAGCATATAAATGCTACTATGCTGCCTTAAGGTTAATTCTTATTGCTGGAAACTCTTCTGATTTGTTCTTTTAGTAGTTCTAACTTTGGAATATTCCACCTGCTCTTACACAACACCCTAAATACACAGGTATGCTAAAAGATGTCTGTTCCAGATGTAAATAGCTCTACCAAGCAAAGGCAAGTTTTGATGCCTCTGTAGCCATCTCCACATTTCTAATAACATTTTCAAAAAAATGTTTTATTTCTCACAGCTAATTAAGAAGAAGGAACTTCTCTTTCTGCTGTGGTGTGTCAGGTATAATATTCTCATATTCTCAGTATATAGAACCACTAGAAAGATTTACATTTTGTCCCTTAAAAGCCACTATTCTATGGCAATATCTATTATTTTAATTTGTGTGAAACAATAATAATTTAATCTTTACTCAATTCTCAAAAAAAAAAAAAAAAAAAAAAAAAAGGGCAGGGTCCAGGGTGCTTATACCTGTAATCCCAGAATTTTGGGAGGCTGAGACAGACAGATTGCTTGAGCCCAGGAGTTCTAGACAGTCTGGACAACATAGCAAAACCCTGTCTCTACAAAACATACAAAAACTAGCCAGGCATGGTGGAGTGTGCCTACAGTCCCAGCTACTCCGGAGGCTAAGGTGGGAGGGTCACCTGAGCCCAGGGGATTGAGCTTGCATTGAGCCATGATCGTACCACTGCAGTCCAGTTTAAGTGCCAGAGTGAGACCCTCCCTCAAAAAAAAAAAAAATTATAAACCTAAGTGCTCTTTGTGACTGGCAGTATGTTTACTATAATACAGAAATTCAAAGAAAGCATGGAATTTGTTTCCTGCCTTTAAGGAATTTACAGTATGGTCAGATAGGCTAAAGAAAAATCATGTCAAACTGATTCAGTGTCACTGGTGATTTAAAAAAATAGTGACATTAGGATACACAGAGGGAGACAGGATCATTCCACTGCACCCAGAAAAAGGCATGCTGTATGAATCTAGTTGCAGAAAAACTTCAATTATTTATTTATATTTTGTATTTGCATAATTCTAAACATCCAGACTTCCAAAGAAGAAGCAAAAGCCCTCAGCATGTTGTTCAGGGCATTCTATTGGTACCTTTCAAAGTGATCATTTAACAATAACTGTTTTTTTCTGAAATACGTTTTTAAAAACAAAAGTTAGAAACTATTGACCAAGCCAGCTCCACATATGAAGAAAAGTCTATTTCTATTGTTTTAAGAAAACAACAGCCTTAAGTCAACCACTAGGGGGAAAAGCCTGCAGTACACACTGCAGTATATTTCTCCTAAACTGAACCTCCAGCATTATTTAGACAAGGTATCCTTTCCCTGATGGATTATTCTCCAGGCCAAGCCATAAGCTAGGGCTTAGAATAAGGTGAAAAGTCTTGGGCCAGCCACCATGCCATACTACCTCCTCTCACAGGTCTAAAAATAAAGCATGACCAGCTTTATTAATTTGTGTGAAACACAGGTCCAGCAGGATGGAGACCAGGCTAGTGTGGACATTTGTCTTATTGACACTGTTGAGAGAAAAAGCCCAACTGCGCACAGATTTGCTCAAGCTGAAACTAGAAGCTTGCATCCTCAGTTGAACTGACACATATAAACCCCACCGACATATATTTTTAAAGTGAGAAATTCCACCCTTGTATATTTTTAAATGAGTGATATAAAAGTAAATTAAGACATACAAATCATCATCACAGAGGAAAGATCTCGCTTGAGGAGCAGGGGACACTCCAGGGATTTCTTTTTGAAGTTGTTGGTTCAGTGGCATTGTTTATTTGGCCCTCCCATTTGCAAGTCATTATGCGTTTATTTATAATAGAGTTGGGCAAATCACACCTATAAATTCCTTTAAAATGATTGAATATTTTCACCCGGTATCATCCTTTCAAATGACAAAAACTTTTTTCTTCACTGGTTTCTTCACCTATTCCTGTCGTTGTCCATAAAGAGTATAGATATCAGTACACAGGAACAAAAAAGAGGACCACTGCTGTTGCGGTGGCGGGAGCTGTGACCCCTAGAAAGGTACAGTGTCTCCAAACACTATGTAAGCAAATAGATAAGGATTTTCCAAGTGATCACTTTGCATATCTAGAATTATAAAGAGCTCTAGAGAGTTTTGCCTAAATCAAGTTGTAGACAACCAAATATTCTCATAAGGAGAATTTAAAATTCATATGTTACAGGGTGCAGAGACGTTCCTCAAACCCTCAACTCTTTTCCTGAATGTATTTGTTTAACGTGTGTAAGAGACTCACTATATCTACTATGGGGGTATGAAGATGAACTGTTTAATTCTGCCTGACACAGTTTATAATTATCTTAATATCTGTTTCAAAATGAAAAGACAAGACTATTCATAAAAGAGGTTAAAAATAGAATAAGATTAAATATCAATAGTGGTGCTACCAGGCAACTTGCTTAACATTACCTGAGCCATAAGTGGAATCAGCCGATACGATAGCTTCAAAGACTTTGTAAATTCTGAGGATTTTAGTCATTTAAGAGCATCAGGAAAACAAAATGTGAATGATATAGAGCCCCCACCATATTCCCAGTTTGCTATTTATTAATTCATTCAGTAGATAAATTTTTCAAGTACTTTCCAGACTCTGAGGATATAAAATTGAAAAAAGAGTGCTATGTCTTGAAACTTACATTCTAATACGGTAGACAGGCAATAAATGAACCATAAAATTATCCTAAAACTTTGTGCTGGCTCTTGCTGTTATGCAGGACATTGAATGTTTTAAGAATACTGAATGCCCACATTGTTAGTGGCACTGGGAATAACTGATGATGAAATCCACAAATTTCAGCCTGATGTTCAAGATCATCTCCAATATTACACAGCCTATTTATGTAATATTATTTCTTACTGGTCACCTCTGAGACCAATAAAGAATTCGATAGCCAACCCAAATTAACTGCCTGACCTGAATATATCTCTTGCCTCAAACCTCATCACACCTACCAAAATCATTCTTTTAATGTATCTCTTGAGAAGGAGGCCTTCCAATTTGAAGATCTTACTAAAGCCCCTAAGCTAGATCTCTCACTCAATTTAAATGCTACACACCTGTGCATGCTTCTCTTTTACGGCATTGATTTTGTCTTTTACTGTGTATTCACATTCATGAGCATACCTAACCTAGTCATTTGAATGGAAACGCTTTGAGGGCAGGGACTCAATAGTTTCTAACTTTTCTCAGGATTTTAGGCTTTATTTAGCATGCTCTCTTACATAGTTAGATCACAAGTCATATTTCTTGTACTGAATTGTGTTATATTTGCTTGGGTGCAATGGCAGAAGATAAAATTCAGTTGCCGGTTCGTGAGCAACATCTGTTTGAGGGAATCTGTACAAGGTTAAAAGTAGTCTGACATTAATCTTAGAGTAATATTACTAAACATGAAACCTCAGCCTCAATTATGTCCACTTCAGTTCTGAATCTTTGAATCTGTGAGTTTTCTTATTTCTAATATAAACTCTTGGTCAGAATTCTCAAGTTTTCAAAACTCTCGTGAATTCCACATATAACCTGAACTTTAGAGAACCTATATTTTTATGTCTATGCATCCTATTCCCATATAATCACATCAGCCAATATTTTATGTTCAAAATATAAAAACCAACCTTTCCTCAGAATTTAAAAGCACAGAAAACTCAATGCACAACTCAATGAAATTCAACAAATTTAAAGTATAACAGTAAAACAAATATATTCTTTTTAATTCAGATTTAATATTGTGTCAATAGATAATCTGCATACTGTTATCTAGATGGAAATATTGTGTGTGAAGGTGCAAAAATTTGTCTATGTTCAGCACATGCATATTTGTAATCATACGCTAATAATTCTGCATCTAGGTCACATATACATGTCATTGTGTACATACACACAACACACATTCACATAACATATTAGACCATACAAAACATACATGTTCATGACATGTATCTTTCATAACTAGTGATTTCATATCTACACAATGTTCTTTCTGGCACATAGATTTGAAAATATTGGTATATTACAGGTGTGTTTACCTACAGGTAAAAGTCTACTCCACGGTAGTCAAACATTTTTTGCCATTGTCTTTTAAAAGTCCTATCTGGTAACACTGCACAGTAATACAGTTTAGGTTTACTTTCTATCTAACAAAGAAACAGAAAAGAAAAGTATTTTTATACCATTATCATGTGTGTCTCAGGACTGTGACCCGGGTCACATTTCTATTAATAAGCAATGTTCCGTAAAAGGTTTTATTATATCATTTTGGAAAAATGAAAGATTGTGACCCCCCCCCCCATGTCCCCATGATCCCGGTGAAAATGAAATGGGTGTATACACATAGGCGCAATCCAGAACACAGAACGTTTGGTACACAAAGGACGATCAGACCAGTCCTACCCAGAACAATTCCATTGAGTAGTTTCTGTTCCACGTACCAGCTCGGCTGCCCAGGATCCATTCTGCCTTTAAATACTACAAAGCAATTTACACTCCAAGTGCCGCCCGCTTAAGTTCTTCCTTTTGCTCTCAGAAATGGAAATACTTGTACAGTGAGTGATGCCTTGTTGCAGCTGCTTCGCGAGTCCAGAAACCCATCTCTGAGCCGCGCGGGATTAAGCCCTGCGGCTCCAAGCTCATTCTCCCCAGCAGCTGGCAATTGGCCGGTCGCTGAGAGCCGAGAACGAGCACCAGCGCGCCATCTGGAGGCGTTAGAGGCAGCTGCAGCAAATTTATAACAAGTGGGTGGAACAAGCTTGTCAGAAAATTCTTAAGTAATCAAATGGTTTTATTTACACTTTCTTGTGCATTTTTAAAAAGACAAAAACAATTGCAGGAAGTCCGCATTCTGTTGCGTATGAGTAATTTATGTTTCTCACACTTCACAATAAAATAAAAAAATAGATTTCACGTATGTACAAATACCACGAGATGGCAAATTTTCTTCTTGGTGATACATCTCTAAGGAAGATAATAAACACTGACTGCTATCAGAAGTTTCAGGATTTGGCTATTTAATTTAAAGGCAGCTTTCCAAAAGAGAAATCTATCCCTCTGAACTAACAACGCAAGTGTGTTAGTTCACAAAGTAGCATGCTCTGCTACTTTGAAAAATTATGAACCTTACCTCTGGAAATGTTTAGTCTGTTCTTTATCAATGCATTACACTGACTTCAGTATGATAACAGGGAAAAGTAGTTTCAGCTTTACTACATGTGATCAGGTGTTCATATGACTTTAATATTTAAAAAAAAAAAAAAGCTCTTTCAATTAGTTTCCCACTATTAATCTCCCTAAGCTTCTTTCCCTTAAAGAGAATAATTTGGCATACCTGGATGAGATATAAGCTTACTTAATTGAATAGAAGATTTTATGGCTTATCTACTACGGTATGCATTTAGAAGTATAATCATTAAATATTTCTTAATTCCATATAGATGAACAAACTGCACCCCTGCCCCGATTCCTACTTCCACAACTAGGAATGTGTCATGACTTTGAATTTCACTTTTTTAAAATTAAAATTTCACTTTAAAACTATTTAATCAGAAACTTATCTACAGTGGTTGTGGGGTTTTGTTTTGTTTTTCGGGGAAATGTGAACCAGAGATTGATTATACACTCTGTGGGGCCCCCTTATAGAAATTCTTAATCAATTTCAATTCAGTTTTGAGAATATCTGGCAAAATAAACACAGAAGAAATTTCCCTCAGCAGTATTTTATCTCAATTATTTTTATTTGTTTGATAAGTGAACATATTTTTCTTCAAGCACATACCATTAAACAGATTATGAAGAAAAGTAAAATTTTTATTTTAAATACAGACAGTACGTACCACATATTTATACTATAATTTTTTTGTGAGTTTGTTAAGGGTCTGAAAACAGATGTTCTAATGAGATTAAAAGGAATGTTATTCTTCATGTTGCTTCACCTTCAGGTTTTAGCACTGTGGAATCTGAAAACGATTTTTTATATAACTAACTCTTAAATTACATGACTTCTATGCTGCAGGATAGTTATAGACTTCTTAGAAAGTCAAGACACTCAAATATATTGTTCAAGATAGCAAGCAGAATAAATAGCATTTGGAAAAGTATAAATAACAGAGAAACATACAGTGACCACATATAGATGTGTCTAACTTTTACCAAACAAAATTGACATGTACATTCAGATGTAACATGTAAATAAATAAGGGATAGATTTTCACACATAAATATCTTGACCTTACAAAATCATTGTTTAAGTAAATATTTCCCAAAATTTTAAGAATAATTTTATTGAAAAAATTAAGTAAATTAAATATTTACATATATAAGCAGAAAACAAAGTAAGACATTGTTGACAGGATTGGTCATATGAATCTCGTAGTCAAAGACATTGGGGTTATGCTCATCAGAACCAAAACCTGAAAATGATAGGCGCTGATGCTGTGTGCAGAAGAGAGAGTTATGTGGTGAAGGGAGGAAGAAAAGTATAATGGTCATGGGTTGTCTCCTGAAAGGTCTAAAGCTGGTCTTCAGACACCAGCAACAGGGAAAATATGGAAAAGGAGTAAAATCCCAATTAGAAAGATACTAAGGAAGTGAAAGGTATTATTTCAGTTTTCATAATTTAATATGTAAAATACAAGGAAAGAAAAAATTTAAGACAAAGTCACACTGTTAAGTCTAAAATAATAAGATAACGGACGGAATCCTTAATGTCTGTGTCTTTCAATGAACTAAGATGAGGATCTGTATTAGATTTCTATTACTGTATAATAAATTACCAAAAATTTAGTGGACTAAAACAAAGTACATTTGTTGCATCACAGTTTCTGTAGGTCAGCAGTCCAGACATGGCTAAGATGAGTCCTGTGCTCAATGTCTTATGAGACAGCAATCAAGAGGCCAATTGGACAGTGTTTTCATCTGGAGGCTTGACAGAGAATAATTTATTTCTGAATTTGATCAGGTTGTTTAAAGTATTTATTTCCCTAGGGCTGTAGAACCCATGGTTGCTGGCTTCTTTAAGGACATCAGGAAAACGTGCTTTCATTCACAAAAGGTCACCAATCTCTCTTTTAAGAATTTTCACCTGATTAAGCCAGACCCACCCCAAATGACCTCTCTTTTGGTTAACTCAGAATCATCTGATTAGGGAGTAGAATTATATCTGTATAATTATTTCCCTCTTGCCATATCTTATTGAGAAGAACGAAGTACCAGGTTCCATCCACACAAAACAAGAGGGGATTAGGCAGGGGCATGATTCATTGGGCATCAACATACTGTGTTTCCACAACAGGATCTATGCAAAGGCACATGATATTTCTTCCTTACCACTCCAAAGGTAATTGGAATAACCTTGGAGAAGTGACAGCTCAGGGTCATTTTGTTGTCTTTAGGATCAAGGCAGACAAATGGATTTATTTATCATAGACGAATTATAAATGCATAGTTATATCCGTGATGAAAGAAGTTTAACAACAACAAATTACCTGAAGGAGTCATCTGATGAGGAAGAAACATGGAGGTAAAGATGGATCCAGTGAATTCAGGAGTGATGTTCGACCCATGAGTGGGACTTGGGACAGTGAAGAACATCAGCGAAGATGAAACTGCAACAGTTTTATGTATCCGACATATTTACGTTGTCTGGAAGCTTTCCTACAGCCCCTCATGCCTACTCAGCCATGTTCTGAGGTGGCTCAGCCTTATTAAATAAGTGTATACGCTTGACTGATAAGAATGCAACCAGAGATTGTCCAGAAATTTGCGGCTTAACTGAAAAAAAAAAAATTAACCTATCTAATTAGATTTTCAGGAATTTGTACTAACAGAAAAGAGAGAAGCTCTCAGTTGCTAGAGAATGTTATATATGAAAGGTCATGGAATAACCGAGAACTGAGTGCAAGCTAATATAAAAAGTAACTATTTAACAGAAACACAAAAAACTGCAGACTCAGGAAGTAGAGATTAGAAGTAATAGTCCTTCATTTAATTTCTCCAAAACATTAATATGGAGTTTCTATCATGTACTGGGCACTGCTTTATGTAGCAATGATACCACAGTGAATTAAACCAAGTCCCTGTTCTGATGAAACTTATTGTTCTAAGAGGTGGGTAGTAAAATACACAAGTAAATATATATTAGCAGGTAGAGAAACTGTAGGAATAAACAAGTTCTGTAGTTCAAGAGTAATGAGCGAATAACTGCTTGGGATAGCATGGTCAAGAATGCCTACATGACTATGTGTCCTTTGAACAGAAACGGAAACACAGGGAAGGGGGCAGCCATGCTAATGTTTGTCAAAGAATGTTCTGGGCAGCAGCTTCAGGCGTCCTGAGATGTATGTGTTCTCATTGAGTGGAAAGAAGACCAACGTGGAAAATACGGCTGGCACGGTCAGAGCAGAAAAGCAGATGATAGGACCTAGGTCAGATACGGACTGAGCGAAGGAATCATGCAGGGCTTAGGAACCTGTGTAAGGACTCTGGCTTTTACCTGGAGAGATAGAAAGCCAGTAGAGGGTTACTGGAAAATTGTATCATACTTAAATTTGTATGAATCACTCTTCCTTCTGTAAGGAACAGAAAGAAACTAAGGGAAGGGGCAGGGAGTCGACCATGCAGATCCTGAGAAAGACAAAAAAGACCTAATATTCAATATGTTCCCCCAGGAAGTCTGGCTGCAGTAGTTTCAGCTCTTGATTTGTATGAGATGAAGATTATAAATCTTTAAAATAAACAAACAAATCCCACCGACAATCCTCTTCTTAAACTAGTTGTATAGGTCTCAGTTCCTTGTAAAGTGAACACGAGAAGGTCTGCTTGATAGAAAGAAGCCAGTCCAGCCTGCTGAGCAACAGGTGTTGCATTTTGGTTGATTCGTCCTATCAAGCTGGGCAGTATATGAAAGGTCCCTGCATCGATTAATATGTGTTCAAAGCTTTAAGGAACTTTAAAACTATTCAGGACTTGAATATTCTGGATTTCCGTTTAGAGTTAAAAGGTAGTAGACTTTTTAAAACATGTTACATTTTAGTAAATGATAGAAAATATTTGCACACGGGGAGTTAATCTCAGCCTCTTATATAATTCAACAGAGTTATTTTTCCAGGGTATTGGTTTAAACCCAAAGGAAAAGGTCAGTTTCCAAAGATTATCTAATCTTTTGTGACATGAGTCTTCCAAGAGTTTCCAACTTAGTAAATATTATCACTCAATATAAATAAAAATGTGTTTAGGGCATATAATTCATTGTTAATATTTTATAGATAGCTATTCTGTGTGTTTTACAACACAGAAACTTTGAAACTAGGTATTCTCCCCATCTTAGAAATAAAATAATTCAAACAAATAGTTTATAAGAAGTCGATTAATTTTCAACTTTGTATCCTTTAACACACATACATATAGAAACATACACACCTCTGTATCACTTGTATATATGTAGGTATAGTTTGGCTATTTTTCATGGCACTTCAAATGAAATATAAAATAAACTATGATACATTTTAAGGTAAAAGTTGGAAGTATCAGCAAATGCTTTTTCACTTTCTTAACGACATCAAACATTTAATCACCACCCTTGGAATAAAAATATTCAACTGAAACAAAAAGTAAAAAAAAAAAAATTAGTTTTAGGTTAGATTCTTTGAAATTATTAAGGGCACAACATAAAAGCCATACTTAAATATACAAGTCTTAAATCTGTATCTTCTACTTATGTTTTTGGTGTGTCTTTTTGGAAGGTATTTTATGATTTTTCAGGAGAGAAGGTCAGTTCGTAGCATCTTGGGTTCCACATCATTTGATAGCTTTACTATCATTAGGAAGTAGTGAATGATACCTTCAACATGACACATAAGTTTATTATTTTTTATCGTTAATATTATTTAAAATATTTGCCAAACAATAACATTTGTAATAAACATTTTCCCACTTACAAAGTTTTTTAAAGCCATGCCAACTGAAGTGCCATATTTAGACCATTCATCTGTG